TGGTAAAAACGAAGATAAAAATTTATTTCTTCCAAATTTATCAATTCTAATCATCTGAAAATTACCAGAGTTCTAGTAGGGACTAAACCCCACACAATCCTGAAGAATAGATGAATTTTATTTCAATTTTTAGTAGTAGCACCATCACCCGAACGCCATCAGACAATCAAAATTTGGTAAAAACGAAGATAAAAATTTATTTCTCCAAATTTAACAATTCTAATCATCTGAAAATTACCAGAGTTCTAGTAGGGACTGAACCCTACACAATCCTGAAGAATAGAGAATTTTATTTCAATTTTTTAGTAGTAGCACCATCACCCGAACGCCATCAGACAATCAAAATTTGGTAAAAACGAAAATAAAAATTTATTTCTTCCAAATTTACAATTCTAATCAATCTGAAAATTACCAGAGTTCTAGTAGGGACTGAACCCTACACAATCCTGAAGAATAGAGAATTTTATTTCAATTTTTTAGTAGTAGCACCATCACCCGAACTCCATCAGACAATCAAAATTTGGTAAAAACGAAAATAAAAATTTATTTCTTCCAAATTTATACAATTCTAATCATCTGAAAATTACCAGAGTTCTAGTAGGGACTGAACCCCTACACAATCCTGAAGAATAGAGAATTTTATTTCAATTTTTAGTAGTAGCAGGTCCACCCGTACGCCATCAGACAATCAAAATTTGGTAAAAACGAAGATAAAAATTTATTTCTTCCAAATTTATCAATTCTAATCATCTGAAAATTACCAGAGTTCTAGTAGGGACTGAACCCCTACACAATCCTGAAGAATAGAGAATTTTATTTCAATTTTTTAGTAGTAGCACCATCACCCGAACGCCATCAGACAATCAAAATTTGGTAAAAACGAAGATAAAAATTTATTTCTTCCAAATTTATCAATTCTAATCATCTGAAAATTACCAGAGTTCTAGTAGGGACTGAACCCCTACACAATCCTGAAGAATAGAGAATTTTATTTCAATTTTTTAGTAGTAGCACCATCACCCGAACGCCATCAGACAATCAAAATTTGGTAAAAACGAAAATAAAAATTTATTTCTTCCAAATTTATCAATTCTAATCATCTGAAAATTACCAGAGTTCTAGTAGGGACTGAACCCTACACAATCCTGAAGAATAGAGAATTTTATTTCAATTTTTTAGTAGTAGCACCATCACCCGAACGCCATCAGACAATCAAAATTTGGTAAAAACGAAGATAAAAATTTATTTCTTCCAAATTTATCAATTCTAATCATCTGAAAATTACCAGAGTTCTAGTAGGGACTAAACCCCTACACAATCCTGAAGAATAGAGAATTTTATTTCAATTTTTTAGTAGTAGCACCATCACCCGAACGCCATCAGACAATCAAAATTTGGTAAAAACGAAAGATAAAAATTTATTTCTTCCAAATTTATCAATTCTAATCATCTGAAAATTACCAGAGTTCTAGTAGGGACTAAACCCCACACAATCCTGAAGAATAGAGAATTTTATTTCAATTTTTTAGTAGTAGCACCATCACCCGAACGCCATCAGACAATCAAAATTTGGTAAAAACGAAGATAAAAATTTATTTCTTCCAAATTTATCAATTCTAATCAACTGAAAATTACCAGAGTTCTAGTAGGGACTAAACCCCACACAATCCTAAAGAATAGAGAATTTTATTTCAATTTTTTAGAAGTAACACCATCACCCGAACTCCATCAGACAATCAAAATTTGGTAAAAACGAAGATAAAAATTTATTTCTTCCAAATTTATCAATTCTAATCATCTGAAAATTACCAGAGTTCTAGTAGGGACTAAACCCCACACAATCCTGAAGAATAGAGAATTTTATTTCAATTTTTTAGAAGTAGCAGGTCCACCCGTACGCCATCAGACAATCAAAATTTGGTAAAAACGAAGATAAAAATTTATTTCTTCCAAATTTATCAATTCTAATCATCTGAAAATTACCAGAGTTCTAGTAGGGACTAAACCCTACACAAGCCTGAAGAATAGAGAATTTTATTTCAATTTTTTAGTAGTAGCACCATCACCCGAACGCCATCAGACAATCAAAATTTGGTAAAAACGAAGATAAAAATTTATTTCTTCCAAATTTATCAATTCTAATCATCTGAAAATTACCAGAGTTCTAGTAGGGACTAAACCCCACACAATCCTGAAGAATAGTGAATTTTATTTCAATTTTTTAGTAGTAGCACCATCACCCGAACGCCATCAGACAATCAAAATTTGGTAAAAACGAAGATAAAAATTTATTTCTCCCAAATTTATCAATTCTAATCATCTGAAAATTACCAGAGTTCTAGTAGGGACTAAACCCCACACAATCCTGAAGAATAGAGAATTTTATTTCAATTTTTTAGTAGTAGCACCATCACCCGAACGCCATCAGACAATCAAAATTTGGTAAAAACGAAGATAAAAATTTATTTCTTCCAAATTTATCAATTCTAATCATCTGAAAATTACCAGAGTTCTAGTAGGGACTAAACCCCACACAATCCTGAAGAATAGAGAATTTTATTTTAATTTTTTAGTAGTAGCACCATCACCCGAACGCCATCAGACAATCAAAATTTGGTAAAAACGAAGATAAAAATTTATTTCTTCCAAATTTATCAATTCTAATCATCTGAAAATTACCAGAGTTCTAGTAGGGACTAAACCCCACACAATCCTGAAGAATAGAGAATTTTATTTCAATTTTTTAGTAGTAGCACCATCACCCGAACGCCATCAGACAATCAAAATTTGGTAAAAACGAAGAAAAAAATTTCTTTCTTTCAAATTTATTAATTCTAATCGTCTGAAAATTACCAGAGTTCAGCTAGGGACTGAACCCTACACAATCCTGAAGAATAGAGAATTTTATTTCAATTTTTTAGATGTAGCAGGTCCACCCGTACGCCATCAGACAATCAAAATTTGGTAAAAACGAAGATAAAAATTTATTTCTTCCAAATTTATCAATTCTAATCAACTGAAAATTACCAGAGTTCTAGTAGGGACTAAACCCCACACAATCCTGAAGAATAGAGAATTTTATTTTAATTTTTTAGTAGTAGCACCATCACCCGAACGCCATCAGACAATCAAAATTTGGTAAAAACGAAGATAAAAATTTATTTCTTCCAAATTTATCAATTCTAATCATCTGAAAATTACCAGAGTTCTAGTAGGGACTAAACCCCACACAATCCTGAAGAATAGAGAATTTTATTTCAATTTTTTAGTAGTAGCACCATCACCCGAACGCCATCAGACAATCAAAATTTGGTAAAAACGAAGATAAAAATTTATTTCTCCCAAATTTATCAATTCTAATCATCTGAAAATTACCAGAGTTCTAGTAGGGACTAAACCCCACACAATCCTAAAGAATAGAGAATTTTATTTTAATTTTTTAGTAGTAGCACCATCACCCGAACGCCATCAGACAATCAAAATTTGGTAAAAACGAAGAAAAAAATTTCTTTCTTTCAAATTTATTAATTCTAATCGTCTGAAAATTACCAGAGTTCAGCTAGGGACTGAACCCTACACAATCCTGAAGAATAGAGAATTTTATTTCAATTTTTTAGATGTAGCAGGTCCACCCGTACGCCATCAGACAATCAAAATTTGGTAAAAACGAAGATAAAAATTTATTTCTTCCAAATTTATCAATTCTAATCAACTGAAAATTACCAGAGTTCTAGTAGGGACTAAACCCCACACAATCCTGAAGAATAGAGAATTTTATTTCAATTTTTTAGTAGTAGCACCATCACCCGAACGCCATCAGACAATCAAAATTTGGTAAAAACGAAGATAAAAATTTATTTCTCCCAAATTTATCAATTCTAATCGTCTGAAAATTACCAGAGTTCAGCTAGGGACTGAACCCTACACAATCCTGAAGAATAGAGAATTTTATTTCAATTTTTTAGTAGTAGCACCATCACCCGAACGCCATCAGACAATCAAAATTTGGTAAAAACGAAGATAAAAATTTATTTCTTCTAAATTTATCAATTCTAATCAACTGAAAATTACCAGAGTTCTAGTAGGGACTAAACCCCACACAATCCTGAAGAATAGAGAATTTTATTTCAATTTTTTAGTAGTAGCAACATCACCCGAACGCCATCAGACTATCAAAATTTGGTAAAAACGAAGATAAAAATTTATTTCTTCCAAATTTATCAATTCTAATCATCTGAAAATTACCAGCGTTCTAGTAGGGATTGAACCCGACTGAACACTAGCATGTGTATCTTAACACTTTTAAATATTTATTCTAAAATAAAAAATTATACAATAGGTATATATTGTATTGAGGAAGCTAAATGATCATGAAATGATTAACTTGTTTAAATAAATTTTTATTAGAAAATTCTACTACAATTCAATTATTAAAGTACAAAAATAAATAATTTTATTGAATTAATTGAATGTTTTTTAAAACTGATTCTCATAAATTATTTTATCAACAAATTTTTAAATAATTGATTTCTTTAGACGAAGTTGAAATAAGATTTTGAAGAGTAATTACTTTTGAAATAATTTTTTTGAAGATTAATTATATTTTTAGTGGAACTTGATTATAATTGTATCAAAAATAATTGAAATTCTTCGATGAGCTGTATTATTTATGAAAATATTTGAATTGTTGCGAAGAAATTTATAAAAAATTTTTAAATAATTGAATTCTTTGGAATTTTTTATTATTTATTAAAGTAATTAATCCTTTGCGTAGAATTTTATTAAAGTTATTAATTTTTTTTAAAACTAATAGAAATATTGTTTTCTACTTTTACAAATTACTAATTTTAGTTTGATATTTAAATAGTAATAAAAATATGTTTTATGTTGCAGGATTATTAAATTTGATGAATGCTGTATCCTTGGATTAGAGTTAATATGAATTTCAGGAGCGATTGTCAGGAAAATTACAGGTTAGTGGGAGTTTAAATTATTTTTTCTATTTGCAAAACAAAGATTTATTGAGACCACTCGGATCATTTATTTATTTATTTAGAAAAAAAAGAAATGTACATAAAAATTTTATGATTAAAAAAAATTATCTAATTAGCCGCATCTAATTAGTTATTATTTTATCCATTTTTACCAGTATATCATACTGTTTATTGATTTTGCCGGAAGAATTACTCTTGCACTTCCTTTTATTACATCTTCTATTAAAACTTCACGTCTATTTCTGTATCTAAAAAAATTTTCAATAAATCTTTCTTTTTCTTTATTTTACTAAAAAATTATGATTTTATAAATTGATTAAAATGATAATTCCATTAATTAATTATTGGACAAATTATTTATAATTTGTAAATGATGTCACAATTATTGATAAATTTTCCACGTCGTGTAGTTAATAAATTTATAAATTTGCTCATAAAAAAATAATTGAATTTATATGGACAATAAGCTATTAATTGAGGAATTTAATAAAAAATTAATACTCACGGATTTAAGAGAATTATCACTGTTGCATTGTCAGGGGTTGAAAATGCAATTGATTTAATTTTAGCTGAACCTCTTTTAATGCTATTAATTCTCTTACTGTCTGGTGGTACAAATCTATCGAATAAAATTAAATTAAAAGTTCTGCAAATATTTACAGAGAAAGGGAATTAAAAATTAGTTGATTATTTTACTAACTTTGAGAAATGACCCATTACGTAGTATGTTGGTTGCTTGTAAAATGCATTTGCTGATGCATTTACTATTATTGGGGAATCTACAAATCTGTTTAGCCAGTTGGGACCACCTTGCAAGTCTAAAGCCATGTTTGAGTCAATCCAACCGGTGACCCAATGGGATAAGTTGTTAATTATACTGTTAGCATAATCTTCTGCGCGACTCCACGAACCTAGTTTAACTTCTTGGTCTAGAAATTAAATATAGAATTAAGTGGAAAGAAAAAAATAAGCGGAAAACACTGAAAACTGATGAAAATTACCAAAAACTTCGAAAAAAAGGTTTCTTTAATTGTTTACCAACACTTTTCTCAAAATCTTGACGTCCTAAGGATTTTTAAGATCCGGAATCATGTTCAGAGGATAAAAATACATTGAAAACGACTCCCATGTTAAAAATTGCAAAAAAAAATTTTTTTTTTGGTTCTTTACCCCCACTTTTTTCAAAAACAAAAATTACTCAGATGTACATATTTTTTATTTTGGAGTTGTATTATTGATATGGGAGTCGTTTTCAATGTGTTTTTATCCACTCAATACGATTCCGGATCTCTAAATTGCTGAGCACTTCAGAATTTTGAGAAAAGTGGGGATAAAGACCCAAAAACAGTGTTTTTATTGATTTTCAAGATAACTGTTTCTTTTTAGCTTATTTACACGATAAGAATCTTTCACATAAGGTCTTAAATTAAAACCTAAATCATAAACTTTAAGACCCATATGTGCCAGACCAAAAAAAGTAGACTTTTTTGAAAAAAGTGGGGGGTAAAAACTCAAAAAATAATTTTTTTTTTATTTTCAATATGGGAGTCATTTTCAATGTATTTTTATCCACTGAACACGATTTTAAATCTCAAAATTGCTTAGCACGTCAGGATTTTGAGAAAAATGGTAAAAGTTAAAGGTAAAGACTCCCAAATTTTAATGATAGTTGGAAATTAATTGTTAAAATAAAATGGTAACGTACTGCCTTGAAGTATTGCTGAATTTTCAGTGGAGAGTAGAAATTTATCCGGGTAAAGTGTGTGAATCCTGTCAAGAAAATTAAGTGCAGTATTGTTATTGAAATAAGAGTGGACGGCAATGCCGGAGATCACATCTTTTGCTTCCCTAGAGTTTAAAATTGGTCTGACAAAATCAGGTAAAATTTGTCTTGAACCATCGCCGATAATAATTTTCAAGTAATCCAATTTTGAACTCTTTAAATTTGGTGCTAAAAATCTTGTTATCCATTCTCGTTGATCTTCTGCTTCCCAACCCATGTTTGGTATTCTAATTGTGGAAAATGCCACTCTTGGCTCATTTTGAGGCGTGAGTGCCCAAAATTTAAAATTATTCTTTTCATACGCTTGGAAGAATCTAAAACAATAAATGCTTGTCTTTAATCTCTTTTTTTCATTGCAAAAAGTAATAATAAATTTCGTTAGCCTGAAATTTTATAATTTCACTGGAAAAATAAAATTTAAATCACCGTAAACACTGTAATAATTTAAGTATCTTTAAAGTAACTTTGTAGTCACAAGATACTTCATTTTTGCAGTGTTAACGGTAATTTAAATTTTATTATTGTAAAGTTTAAAAAAATTTTTTGGAATTTTTAAATTTGGTAAATTTTGGTATTTGCTGGTTAATATCTTTGTGCTTATGGAGTGTAGGTATTAATGAAAATCCATATTACAAGATTGCCTTCCCAAAATTTCAATCAAATAACATTCTACTAACGGCGGGAGACTTGATAGACTAGAACATATTTGAAATCAACTGCCTCAAACTTAGAGTGAAAGCTCGGTTTATTTCAAACTCAAAGTTCAGTAATAAGGTTTTCGATAATTCTATTTGGATAGTAGTTCTATATAGAGAAATTGGAATTCAATAAAAATTGAATATTGATTGATTAATAATTCATAAGGACATTAACTGATCGTAATAATAATTTTCCATCACAGAGGTAAACTAAAATAAATTTTTATTTGCTTCAAAATAAATTTTATGTGGTTTGAATAAATTTTGATTTGGTTTGAATAAATTTTGATTTGGTTTGAATAAATTTTGTTTTGTTTGAATAAATTTTGTTTTGTTCAAATAAATTTTGTTTTGTTTGTATAAATTTTATTTGGTTCGAAATTTCGAATTAATTTTTATTGGTTTAAATAAAAATTTTATTTAAAGCAAATAAATAATTGTCTCTGAGACAAATCTACATTTATTGACAGAGTAAATTTTATTTGCTTTGGAAAAATTGTTGGTTGAAATAAAATTTTTTTCTGGGTCTATTAAAGTTCGATTTTGATTAAATGTACAGTAATCCTGTTTGGCAATATTAAATTATTGGGAATCTTTAGAAATGTGTGTATTAGATTCGCATCTTAATATAAAGTGTTTCATACTTTACGAAGTAATTAGCCCATGTTTGCCAATATTCACGTCGTAGGATACTCTTCCCAGTCCAAGTTGCTTGAGTTTTCATCCAGGGACTTGGCGTCCATGGAGATGCTATTAATTTCAAATTCCTCAGAGATAGTGAACTAATCTTTTTTAAATTTGGTATCTGAAAATCAGTTTAATATCAGTTTTAGTATAATGAAAAATTATAATAGAATTTACAGCAGGGTTGCCACAAAAATTTAATTTTGTTTTTCCCTGATTTCCTAGACAAAATTTTGACTTTTTCCCTGACCATAAAAAATAATTCTGATTCACTCTAATAATTTATTAGACACTAACCAAAATGTTTTATTACATATTTATTTACGAATTTCTTTAATTGTAAAATTATTCGAAAACATCAATAACTTCCTTTTTAAATAAATAATATTTAATTATTATTATTTTTCCAAAGGAATTAAGATTTTCAAAAAATTCAAATTCAAACCTTTTTTTAATTCAACAACTTCTTAATAAGAATATTATTCTTCATGCTTTATAATAACTAAAGAACTACTTGAAAATTATTTTCATCATTCAAATTCAATTATTTTATTATTTCCTAGAATTTTTATATTAATTTGTTTACAAAATTCAATTTGATGAAATTCTAATTAGTTGCAATTCTTTTTATTCTTTAGAAAAATAAAAAGTTTAAATAATTTCAAAAAAATTCAATTAATATTTTTCAAAAAATTAAAAAAATTATTTCTACAAAATTGTTAGTTTGTATGAAAAATTCAGATTTTCAAAGATTTTGATTGGAAACCATTTCAAAATTCAATTATTTCTAAAAATTCACGCAATAATGTTTTTAATACCTATTCAATTATTATCTAAAATTTAAACTGAAATTAATTTTTAAATCAATTTTTATTAGAATATTCTACGAGAATTTAATTATTAAAATACAAAAATTAAGAATTTATTCAATAAATGAATGTTTCTTAAAATTGAATTTTTTTGACGAATTTTAATAAAATGATTAGGAATAATTACATTTTTCGAGGAATTGGATTAAAATAGTATTAAAAATAATTGAAATTCTGCGATGAGTTTTATTATTTATGAAAATAATTGAATTTATTAAAAGAATTTTATTATTCAGAAAAAAAATTAAATCCCTGTTAAAGACTTTATTATTTCTAAAAATAATGGAATTATTGCGAATAAATTTTTAAAAAAATTCGTGAATAATTAAATTCCAGTAATTTTTATTAGTTATGAGAATAAAAATGTTTGCGTTATATTTTATTGACTTTTTTTTAAACAATAGAATTTTATTACAATTTTTGAAAATAATTGAATTTCAGAGAAGAATTTTATTATTTATAAAGAATTAATTGAAATTTTGAAGGAAAAATTTAAGAATTTTTGAACATAATTGAATTTCTACGAAGAATTTCATTAATTTTGAAAATAATTGTCTGCAATGAGTTTTATTATTTATAAAAATAATTGAATTTTAATAAAATTTTTAAAAATAATTGCATTTTTCGAGTAATTTATTAAAAATTGTATTAAACGTAATTAAAAGCCTGCGATGAGTTTTATAATTTTTGAAAAGAATTGAATTCTTGTAAAAATTTTATTTGACCTTTTTTGAAATAATTGAATTCCTGTGAACTTGTCATTTTATGAAAATAATTTTTTAATGTTTGCGTAGAATTTTATTAAAAGTTTTTTTTTAAATAAATGAATTCTTTTGGAAAATTTTATTAAAATGGTAGATATTGAAAATCATTGATTTGAAGAAAATTTTTGAAATTAATTCAATTTTGGAGAAGAATTTTATTATTTATAATAATAATTGAAATTTTTGCAACAATTTTTTTTTTATTTTTGTACATAATTGAATTTCTACGAAGAATGTTATTACTTTTTAAAATAATTGTAATTCTGCGCAATGAGTTTTATTAATATTTTTAAAAATAATTGAATTTCTTCAATTATTTGTAACTTCTCAAACCTTTAATTTTTTTAGTGTCTTTAACTCAAATTATTCTATAAATTCATTATTTTTAATAATTAATTAAATACATTTTAAAAAATTCAGACACCTGTCCAAAATTCAGAATTTTTTTTATGAATTCTAAAAATTTTTTTTTTTTCTGTACTTATTAAAAATACCTTGTAAACATTATCTTCACTAGTTAGAGAAAAACGTTCCAGACCGACATCATATTCTGACATTGCATAACTGTAGGGCCTTGGAGAAAAATCGGTTGTTCCGATTGGAACTCTCACCATATTATATTCGATACTATCATATCCAAAATAAGATCTGTAAACAATTATGAAAATTATGAGAATGAAAATTTTGTTTTGAAATTCGTTTTCAAAATTCTTTAATACTGAAATATTATAGATTGTATTTAGAATATTATAGAAATTAATATAAATTTATTGTTTATATAATATACTGATCTACAATTATTATTTCTTACAAAAACATTTTCTTTTTTACCCCAAAAGTTTATCTTGCACATCATTAGTCAAGGATTTAATATTAAATCCAGTCGAATCTGTCAGGGCTCCTCCGAAACCCGAAATATTTTGAAATGTCTGACCTTTATTGATTGTTATTCGCAAGGGAACGTCTGAAATATTTTTCGAATTTTAACAATTTGATAATTTTTCATTATCTCTTAGTTGTTAAATTACTTTCATAATAATTTTTAATATTTTTCATAATAATTATTTTTTAAAATTCAAAATTAAAAAAAATTCTTTTCTTTGATGAAATTTTAGAATTTTTTCTGTTTATAACAGAAAAAAATTGTTATATAACTTGTTTAGTGAACGTACTTCCATGTAGTCTACCAATAAATGTCCCATTAGTAACGTAGAATCGAAGACCTTCCTTGTTAGATGAAACTAAACTATATCTTGAATCATCCGACGGTTTCGATATACTTGGAACTTTGTCACAATAATTTGAATCACAAATACAATATAAACTGTCACCTCTGTTGCTGGAAAATCTTTCACATCCGAATATGAGGGTCGTGCCTGCTAAAAAATTAATTCTGTCAGTTATAAAATTCGATGAAATGAAAATATTATCTAATAATAGCGATCACAATGCAGGATTACCACAGGCCAGGGAATTCAGGAAAAAGTCAGAGAAAAGTCAGGGATTTTTATTAAAAGTACTGGAAAAAATTTAATTTTTAGAATTCATGAGAAAATTCAGAATTTTCTGAATTTTTGTGTCTTTTTTGTTTGTCTCATAAACTATGAAATTTTCAAGAATTATAATACAAGACCTACAATTTTTTCTATTTCTAACAATAATTACTTTTTAACTAAATTAATTCTTGAAGAACTATCATAAAATTATTACTTAGAAATCATTTAATGAATAATTTTACTTAAATATTTCAAAATTAATTGAATTTTAAAAGAGTTGCGTTTACGATTTTCATAAATAGATCAACTTCAAAAGGTTTCAATTTCAAATTTTATAAAATTTCAATTTTGAATGAATTTCAGGTAATTAGAAATTTTAAAGAACTTAGATTTTTGAAAAATTTTAATAATTCAAATTGTTCTGAAATTAGTTAAATTTTTGAATATACATTTAATTAATTATTAAAAATAATGAATTTATAGAAGAATTTAAGTTAAAAACACTAAAAAAAATAATTGAATTTTTGAGAAATTACAAAAAATTGCAAAAATTTCATTAATTTTCATAAATAACAAAAATTCTTCGTCTAAATTCAAGTATATGTTCAAAAATTTTTTTAAATTCTCTTAAAAGTTTTAATTATCTTTAAAAAAGTAATAAACTTTTTATTTTCTGAAGAATTCAATTATTTACAAAAATTTTCCTCTATTCAATGATTTTCAATACCTAGTATTTAAATAAAACTTTCCAAAAGAATTAAATAATTTAATAAAAATTTAAATAAAATTCTACGCAAACATTTAATTTTTTTATTTAATAAATAATAAAAATTTCACAGGAACTCAATTATTTCGACATTTTTTATAAATTTCTTCAGAATAATTCAATTATTTTCATTAATAATAAATATTTTACAGGGATAGAATTATTTTTGTTAATAATAAAATTTTATTTAGGAATTTGAGTTTAATTCCTAAAAGATTTCAATTATTCTTGGAAATTCTATTAAAATTCAACACAAAAATTCAATTTTTTCAATATTTTTTTTAATAGGTATATTCTCGTCAAATTTTTATAAAATTTATTATAAAATTCAATTATTTTCATAAATAGTAGTTTTTTTCACAAAATTCAATTATTTTCAAAAATTTTAATAAAATTTTTCTAAAAAATTTTGTTATATTAATAAGGAACAAAATACTTTGGAAAAATTCAATTATTTCCAATAAATTGAATACAATACTTCCAAGAAATTCAATTAATTTTTAAAATAACAATTTTTTTGCAACAATTCTTATTATTTTCATAAATAATAAAATTATTAACAAAAATTAAATTATTTTCAAGAAATTAAATAAAATTCTTCGAAAAAATTCAATTATTATTATAGAAAACAAAATTCTTCTAAAAAATTCCATTATTTTCAAAAAATTTAATAATATTCTTCTCAAGAATTCAAATATTTACATTAATAAAATAATAAGAATTTAGAAAAATTCTCATAAAAATTTTAACTATTCTTAAAAATTCATTTTTTTTTATTAAAATTCATCACAAGAATTTATTTTTTTTTTTAAATCTTTTTTAACATTCTGGTCAAAATTTCAATTATCTTTATAAATAGAAAAATTCTTCTACGAAATTAAATTATTTTTATAAATTTTAATAAAATTCGTGACAAAATTATTCAGTTATTTTAATGAAACTCATCGTAGAATTTCAATTATTTTTAATTCAATTTTAATCAAATATTTCGAAAAATATAATTATTCTTAAAAATTTTATTAAAATTAGCCTAAGAATTTAATTATTTACAAATTTTTTGATAACATTCTTCAGGAGGATTCAATTTTAAGAAACATTGCATTTTTCAATAAATTATTTATTTTTTCTATTTAACAAATGGAATTCTCGTAGAATTTTCTAATAAAAATTAAAAATTGAATTAAAAATGAATTTCATTTTATATTTTAAATAATTGAATATTAAAAGCATTATAGTACGAATTTTTAGAAATAATTGAATTTTGAAAAGATTTCAAATTAAAGTTTTTGAAAATTTGAATTTTTCATACTTTTAACTATAACAAAAGTGTGTAGAATTAATTTTTTTGAAAAAGTTTAATTCAAATTTTGAAATTATTTGAAGTTTTTATTTTCTAATATATACATTATTTAATTGAAGAAATTGCAAATAATTGAAATTTCGTAAAATTGAATTGTAAACAAGTGAATTTGAAAATTCTCAATAAGAACTTTTTCAAAAATTATTAATAATAATTGATTTGAAGATGAATTTTAGTTAAAAATTCTAGAAAATAATAATTGAATTGAAATAATGAAAATAATTTTGAAGAAGTTATAGTAACAATATTTTTATAATATAAAATAATGATTTTATCTTTCGGTCATCTTTAATTTTTATAAACTGTTGAATTTTAGAAGGTTTGAATTTGAAATTTTCGAAAATCTTAATTCCTATTGGAAAATAATAACAATTAAATATTTATTTAAAAAATAAGTTTTTGATGTTTTCGAAAAATCTATTTATTTTAGAATTATAGAAATTCGTATTTAAGTGTAATAATGGAACATTTTTTTTAGTATCTAATTATTTTTTAGAGTGAATCAGAATATTCTTTATAGTTAGGGAAAAAGTAAAAAATCTGGATATCAGGGAAAAGTCATGGAAAAAGAAAATTAAATTTTTGTGGCAACCCTGCAGTTTGCTCCTTTTTTCCTTTCTTATCTCCTTAAATTAATAAAATCTCTTAAAGACTTGAAAATTAAACATATTCTTCCTTTGTTTTTAAATTCTTTTCTTTTGTTTTCTTTCTCGTTGTAAGTTTGAAAAAGTTTGAAAAATATACAGTAGGAAAAAAAAATTTCTATTTGCAAATTTTGAAAAAATTGTTTTGCATCTTCTTTAAACCCAAACAAATTAGTAAATTTAGTTTCTATATTGTCATTTACAAATAATTAGATATTGCAAAAAAAATAATAACTTGTGCAATATCGGGAATAATAATTTTCAATATAATCTCGTATTGAATTTAATAGATACTTAGAGTTTCAATAATGTCGACACTAATAGACCAATTAATTATTATTTACCATATGTATATTCGAGACTGATTTTGAAACAAAATGCGAGAATTTAGTTACTTGATTCACATATGTATATGTATAGATGTTTATAAATTTTCAACAATAAGTGAGCGACTATTAAACATCCATTTCAGCGTCCATTCATATAAATATAGTAACGTAGACTCTCTCATAATGAGTTTCAACTTTTGTTTAATCAAAGTATAATAAATTAGATGAGCGGGAGTAAATGGTTTCAAGTGGAACACACTAGATACCTGGTATTTCCACTCGGACAAGTACAACCGAGTGTGAAACGCCAATATCCCCATCGGTTCTCTGCGAATTCTAGTCTGAATAAATCGATATGTCTCTATATACCTAATACCTGCTAGAAATGCAACCAGAGTTGCCACTGAATCCATTTCGATATATCCTTTATTTTTTTTTAAATAAACTGATTTTTGTCTCCTATAAATAGATTCTTTTATTCTATCACTGTTTATTCTTTGATGTTAAATCATTTCCAGTCGAATTTCTATAAATCCACTCTCCTTAAAATAATGGAATTTTTTTCTCTATTTTTAAATCTCCGTGGAATCTGTGAATGAGAAGAAAAAAATTGTACTGGGGGAAAAATTATTCGGTTCAAGTAATTTAATATTTTGTAATGTAGTAAAATATTTATTTCCACGAAGTTAAAAATATTTAAAAATATTGTTAAAAATATTTATTTTTTTTTTAACACAGTTTTTCTAAGGATATCAAATTGAGACAAAAAATGAATCAAAACGTTGCTTCGCAACACTTTTTGATACTTTTTTTTGTCACAATTTGATATCTTTAGAAAAATTGAAAATTTCCTTTGTACCTAAGAGAAGCTTGGAAAATAATTACTTTGTTGATATTTGAGTTTAATTTTTTTTATCTTAAATAATAAATTGCAAGTTATTCTGAATACCGTGAAAAAACTCTTCTTTAATTAAAAAAGCTCGAAATTGATAAAGAAAAGATTAAATTTAATAATCGACTCCGAAAATTGTTTTAAAAAAATTGTCAAGACCAGCGTCGTTTTTCAAAATAGTAAATACACATTTTTTCTGAATTGGAAGTAAATTATAAAAAAAGTTTTCCGTATTTCGGAAAAAGCTCTTCTTCAATAAAAAAAAGCCGAAAATTAATTAAAAAAGCCAAATTTGATAATCGACTCCAAAAATTGTTTAAAAAAAAATGGTCAAGATCAGCATCGTTTTCAAAGACAAAAGTTTTTCATGAATCGTAAATAAATTCTAAAAAAGTTCTAAATAGTGTATCGGAAAAATATCTTCTGTAACAAAAAAAAGCTTCAAATTGATAAAAAAAAGAACAAATTCTATAATCGACTTCAAAAATTGTTTAAAAAATTGTTAAGACCGAAGATACACATTTTTTTTGAATGGGAAATAAATTCTAAAAAAGTCCTGACTTTCTCCACGTTTTCAAAAAAGCTCTTCTTTAAAAAAAATCTCCAAATTGATAAAAAAAAACCCCAAACTTGTTAATCGACTTCAAAAATTGTTGAAAAAATGGTTGTTAAAAAAAGCGTCGTTTTTGAAGACAACAATTTTTTCTGAATCGGAAATAAATTCTAAAAAAGTTCTAAATACCTTCGTGTTTCGGAAACATTTTTTCTTTAATTAAAAAAAGCTCCAAATTGATGAAAAAAAGACTAAATTCGATAATCGACTCCAAAAATTGTTTAAAAAATTGCTAAGACCGAAGATACACATTATTTCTAAATAGGAAATAAATTCTAAAAAAGTTTTGAGTAATCTCCATGTTTCCGAAAAAGCTCTTCTGTAGTAAAAAAGCTCTAATTTTATCAAAAAAAAGCCCAACATTTATATTGAGTTACAAAAATTGTGAAAATTAATTTACAAGACCAGTGTCGTTTTTCAAGATACAAATTTTTCCTGAATCGGAAATAAATTATTGAAAAATTTCTGAATACCTTCTTGTTTCGGGAAAAGTTCTTTTTTAATAAAAAAAAGAAGCTCCAAATTGATGAAAAAAGCCCAAATTTGATATTCGAATGCAAAAATTGTTTAAAAAATTGTCAAGAACAGCGTCGTTTTTTCAGATACAAATTTTTTTCGAATCGAAAATAAATTCTAAAAAAGTTCTGAATATCTCTGTGTTATCAAAAAAGCTCTTCTTTGATAAAAAAAAATCTCCAAATTGATAAAAAAAATCGCCTTCAAAAGACAAAAATTGATAAAACCAATTGTACAAACTAGCGTCGTTTTTTAAGATAGAATTTTTTTTTTTTTGAATCGGAAATAAATTCTAAAATAGTTCTGAGAACCTCCGTTTTTCGAAAAAAGCTCTTCTTTAATAAGAAAAGCTCCAAATTGATGAAAAAAAGACCAAATTTGATGATCGCCTCCAAAAATTGTTGACAAAAATTGTCAAGACCATCGTCGTTTTTCAAAATACAAATTTTTTCTGAATCGGATGTAAATTCTAAAAAAGTTCTAAATACTTCCCTGTTTCGGAAAAAGCTCTTCTTTAATAAAAAAAAGCTCTAAATTGATGGAAAAAAGTCTGAATTTGTTAATAGACTCCAAAAATTGTTAAAAAAAAATTGTCAAGACCAGCGCCGTTTTTCAAAAACAAATTTTTTCTGAATTAGAAATTAATTCTAAAAAAGTTCTGAATACTTCCCTGTTTCGGAAAAATCTCTTCTTTAATAAAAAAAGCTCTAAATTGATGAAAAAAATCCCAAATTTGATAATCGACTCCAAAAATTGTTAATTGTTTTAATAATTCTAAATTTCTTAATTTTAATTTAATAAATTTTTTAATAAAAAAGAAAATGTAGTTTTTATTAAAATTAAATTAAATTTGTGTAAATTAGATAATTTTTATTAAAAGTCAAATTAATATTTATTTATCAGTATCAATGTACTCATTAATGTTTAATGTGTACATTACCTATTCTCTCTCGAAACAGATAAATGCAAAAATTCTAGTATCGTTCATAAAGTAATTAACGTTGAACAAATGTTATTTAAAATTGATTCAATTAAATGACACTTTTAATAATTATTCTTCATTGTAAAATGAAAAACAACTAGAAACTTTGGAATTTTTGTTTCTTAAATTTATAAAAATTTAGAGGAAATTAATGGTTCAAAATACTTTTTTGAAAAAAATAAATCTCCACAAGGAAAAATATATAAAAAATTATTTTAGAATCAAATACTTTTTTGATAGAAAAATTAATGTTTTTTTAACTTAAATTTTGTAAAATAAATAATGACTTTTTTAAAAGAACTTTACTGAAATTTTATTAATTTAATTAATTAATTTTTTAATTTAATTTTTTTTTGTTAGGTTAAATGATATTTATTTATTATCTCATTGTGATAGTTTGAAATAGTGCATTTGTCTGTTTCCAGATGTTCTTTCAATTCTTATCATTGTCCAAACGTTGTTATTTTACATTAGTGCCTATTTATATATTACGTAAGAATACATTTTTTCTATTAGGTTTCAAAAAATTTTCTTTACCCTAGATAATCACTGATATATTAGTCAATAGTTTGTATTAAATTAAAAAACGAGAAATAATAATACAAAAGAAAATTGAATTTATGAAATAAAATATAAATAGAATTAATAAAAATTTACCTTTTTTTAAAAATTAAAGTGGAAATATTGGAGTAAGAAAAGAGAGAAAAAAAGTTATGTCTGAGTTTCTGACAGAAGAAAATAAATAAAAATTTTGAAATGTCTGTCTATAAACAATCAAATTTGAACATAGGTTGTAAATTTTTATTGGGAAAATTGAAATTTAGCCACTTTCAGTTCATCAATCACTTGTATTTTTTTTTAAATAATAAAAACGAAAAATTGAGTTTTTTTTTAATAAAAAAAAGAACATGAGAATTAATTTGCATGCGAATTGTGTATACAAGAGTGACTCCTTTCGCTGAAGCTCATAAAATGATTTTCTGTCATACTTCAGAGCAAGTGGAATGTACATTTTATTTCACGTATACAGAGATACATTAAAAAAGCATTTCTCTTTTTTTCAAAACTCTTCTTTTGCAAAACAAAATTTTAAAAAGTGTATTTTTAACATAAACGAGAAAAATTTCACGGAATGAAAATAATATTCAAAATAATTTAAAATTTAAAACACTGTTTTTAAAAATATATTTCAAAAAAGAAAATTTTAAAAAAGTGTATTTTTAACAGAAACGAGAAAAATTTCACAGAAAGAAATTAATTTGCAATATAATTTAAAATTTAAAACACTTTAAAAAAAAAAATTCCGCGTAATGAATTTTGTAACAAGACGATAGTTTTTTAGAAAATTATTTCTTTTTAATACAAAAATTTATATTTACTGTACTTACACAAATAAAATTCATTTTTGAACTGCAAAAAATTAATTTGATTTCAGAATTTAAATTAATTGAAATTTAATGAATTAGATTTATTGATATTGAAAATTGAACGAATTAAATTTATTAAGATTTATTAAAATTTTAAATTAAAGGAATTAAATTTTTACTAATATTTAAAGTTTGAAAAAAATTTACCTGCAAATAACGATCTGGATCTTGACTCAAACAAGAAGTAAAATATTATCTCTGGAAGCTCTTTATACCAACTTGAGAAAATTGTACGAAAAGCGTCACACTACTTTGTATAAATTAAGTAATTGTTTTTTAATTTTCCTTGTTTCCATAATAATCAATAAATAGTTCATCTCAATAAACACCTGCGCATATAATTTTTTTTTTTTTTTTTTTTGACGTAAAACTTTATTTCGTTAGAAAATTTGTTATTAGAATATAATTATATAAAATTTTATCAAAAATTTTTGAAAATAAATTGAACTTTTTCGAAAAATTTTATTATTTTTCGAAAATAATAGAATTTTCTCCAAGACTTATGAATTAAAATTTTTTAAAAGTTATTAACATTTTTTCAAGGAATTTAATTAAAATTATATTGAAAATAATTGAATTCTTGTAAAGAATTAAAAATTTTTAACAATAAATGTGTTTCTGCACAGATTTTCAATAAAATTCATTAAAAAGAATTGAACGTTTAATTGAATTTTTTGATAAATAATTGAAACGTTTCTAAGAATTTTATTAAAATTTTTCGAAATTAATAAATAACAATAATTATTGTCACAGTAAATTAAACTATTAATAATAAATAATTATCAATTAAGATATTAATTAATATTATATTATTAATATAATTAATTATATTATTAATAATTATTAATAGTTTAATATACTGTGACAATAATTATTGTTATTTATTATTTTCGAAAATTTTAATAAAATTCTTAGAAACATTTCAATTATTTTTCAAAAAATTCAAGTAAAATTTCAATTATTTTTAATACATTTATAATAATATATTATAATATCTTAATTAATAATATAATTAATAATTTTATCAATTTACTTATTATTATTATAATTATTAATTAGTATTATTTTATTATAATTATTAATTATTATTAACTATTATAATTATTATAATAATTGTTATAATAATTATTATGATGATATTAATTAAACATTTCAAAAATTTTGAGTGCTGGCAATTAATTGAATTTAATAAGTTCACGGATTAAAATTTAAAACTGACTTTCCAACTTTTTCTGAGTTATAAAAGTTTATTTGGAAAAAATGCAGTTAGGTGATATATAAATATCTAAAAAATCGACTTGCATTTTCCATAAACGTAAATGGCAACAGTTACCGCAACTCTTTGTATTGGCATCTGTGCTATAGATGATTCTGTTTCCGCAAAACTTTTCCTCTGAGAGAGCCGATAAGAGTACTCATTCTATGCATTTATGTTTAAGATATAAATAGTTATTCTCACATGACTGAAGTTAAGGCTAAGATACATTTTTAAATTGCTATCACAATTTTTTATCTTTTACATTTTATTATTTATTTAAAACAATAATTTAAATGCCTGACTGAAATTTAAAATTTCTATCGTCACAGCGCTGTATATTTATTTTTTATAATTACCAAATTATTTATCATTTTAAATCATTTTTTAATTTACTTTTTATTATTTTAAATTATTATTTATTTATTTTTTATTATTTTTTAATTTTTTATTTATTATTTATTATTTTTTAATTTTTTATTTATTATTTTATTTACAAATATTAACAATTATTAATTATTATTTACAATATGGAGATGGTACTCTCCACCTGAGAACGCCAAGGTCACCGCTAGATGTCAGTTCAGTTCCTTCTTGTTTTTACTGACATCTGGTGGTAACTTTGGCGTTCTCAAGTGGGGAAATTAGCCATTTATTTCTGAAAAACTTTTTTTTATAATAAAAAAAAATTTTTTTTGAAAAAATTGAGTCAACAATGGAATTATTGTCATCTCTGTACTACTTTTTATATAAGAAAATATTGAACGAAAATTGTTTCCTTATTTTTAATGTTCCTAAGCGTAAGGTCATGGATTTTCCTTAATCGTTTTCCAATTTCTATATATAGGCAAATAATTCTCTTTTTCTCTTTTATAAACAGAAAGAGAATATTCGCTCCATTTATTTAGAAATTAAAATTTTTTCTCATTCTCTTTGACATATGTATTTAAAGTATCAGAAAGAAAACTATTTTATTGACAGGTAATTATAAATGAAATGACAAATAAAAAGGAGAAATTTGAATTTCTATAAATAAATAGAAAATAAAATGAGGAAAAAAAGGAAATAAATTTTTTTTTTTAATTCTTTGATATAAAATTATCGATATTGTTGGAAAAGATTTTCTTTTTTAAATAAAACTGTTAGAGCTACAATTTTTATGAATAAGTTACTAATTACACTTATTTCGTTAAGAAAGTTACTAATTGTAATATTTTTTTAATTTAAATTAAAAATATTTATTTATTTTATTTAGTTTAATAACGAGACAAAAAAATATTCATTTATTTGCAGTAAACAAATTAATTCTAAGACTATAAAGATAATTCTACAATAAATTAGATAATAAAAATAGCGAATTGAAGTGAATTTAAAATTGAAATTCGTTTATTTTAATTGTCAAACTCTCTAAATTTTGTTTAAAAATAATTATAAAATTGCGATTATTATTTACGAAAATGTTGAGATTCAATATGGAGATGATATTCTCCACCTGAGAACGCCAAGGTCACCGATAGGTGGCAGTTCAGTTAATAAAATCAGATTTCACGCCATGGCGTGAATATTATATAAAATATTAAGCCTGGCAAGGCTTAATATTTATTTGAATCGGAAAAATATAATTATTTTGAATCAGAGAAATATTTATTCGAGTCAAATAATTTTTAATTCAATCAAATAAATTCTATTTAATTCAGATAAATATTTATTTGAATCAGAGAAATATTTAGTCAATTAAAAAAATTTTTATTTCAATCAATTAAATTCTATTTGAATCAATAAGTATTTATTTGAATCAGATAAATATTTATTTCAATGAGAAATATTTATTCGAATCGGAAAAATATTTATTTGAATCAGAGAAATATTTATTCGAATCAAATAATTTTTATTTCAATCAAATAACTTCTATTTAAATCAATAAATATTTATTTGAATCAGAGAAATGTTTATTTGAATCAAATTAATATTTATTTAAAACAGAGAAATATTTATTCGAATGAAATAATTTTTATTTCAATATTTGAACAAATAAAAATTTACTAAATCAGATAAATATTTATTTGAATCAGATAAATATTTATTCGAATCAAATAATTTTTATTTCAATCAAATAAATTCTATTTAAATCAATAAATATTTATTTGAATCAGATTTATGTTTATTTGAATCAGAAAAATGTTTATTTGAATCAGATAAATATTTATTCGAATCAAATAATTTTTATTTCAATATTTGAACCAATAAATATTTATTTGAATCAGAAAAAGGTTTATTTGAATCAAATTAATATTTATTTGATTGAGAAGTATTTATTTGAATGAGATAAATATTTATTTGAATCAAAGAAATATTTATTCGACTCAAATAATTTCTATTTTAATCAAAGAAATTCTATTTGAACCAATAATTTTCATATTTGAAGCAAATACAATTTAATTACAAAAATAATTATTTTATACAAGTAATAATAGTATTAATAATAATATTGTTTGGTATGAATGAAGTAAATTATTTTTACAGTGGAAAGAAAAAAAAACTTTGATAATTCAAGGGTAGCTGTGAGAAATATAGATTATCTAGAAAATACATATAAAGTGAAGAATAAATTGAATAGTCTTCAATATATATGGATACATAATTTCTATCTAACCTGTCAATATATACAATATTGTGTATCTTTTCGCATATTTATCCACGTGAATACGATCAATGTCGCTAGACAATGAGATCATGGCCGCAAATTATATCGCGAACCAACAGGATCTTCTATTATATATTTTTCATTTTATAATTGTCGCATTCAATTAAAAATCTTTTATACGTACGGAAGAAGAAAAAAATTTTCTGAAAACTTCTAAATATTCTTTTTTTTCTATTTATTATTTCAATTCTTTTTTTTCTCCTTTTTTTACGTATCCAATTTAGAAAAATTCAATTTGAAACTAAAGTAAACAATATGTTTTTTTAGAAATAAAATTATTTTTTTTTTAATATTTACACACAAATGCACATACATTTATTTGTTGCTATTTTATTTTTTGCTGTTGAAAAATATAAATATTGTTTATAAAGAGGAAAAATTTCCAAATAGAAAATAAAATTCACCACATAGAGTAAACGAGTTGATTCATGAATGAGTTTTATTTGCTGAAAAAGTATTTCATTGTTACTTTCATCACTGTCCGAACTGAAAAGTTAAACTAATAGTTGCTATTAGATAACGTGGTAAACAATGAATGTGTATAGCGTAAATCTACATACCAGTAGTTGATGGATTAAAATTATATCAGTAATGAAAGTTTCAAACTCTATATTTTACAACTAAGTAACTATTGTTTTGATTTTAATTTAATTCTCCTTTAATTAAATTAGTTTGTAAAAGTATGATATTAATAATAATATCCCGAGTCGAAATTTAGACCCTACTTAGCCTCTGAAAATGTAGGGCCTATTCAGGTTTAGCAGTCGTAAAGTAGGGTCTGATTTCAATACAATTTTTAAAAACTAGACCCTACTTTGACTCCCAAAACAGGCTGAAATTTGCCAATCTTCCATTTGGAGCAGCAAAGGAGGGTCTACTTCTAAGAAACCTATACCGTACTTTTAAACCTCGCAGACCCTACTTTCATACTCCTAGACCCTACAATTAGAAAAAGAAAAATTTTAAGATTTGCTCAGATTCAAATGAAGCACTTGGGATGAGTAAAAGTGGAATTTTATGTGTTTTATAGCGTCTATATACACGAAGTGTATATAGACGCTATAAAACACATCAGTATTTATGAATTTGGAGTACTTTTTGCATTTGCAGTGTTTCAAGTAATGCATTAAAAAATAATTCAAAATTTTCTTTTAGAATGTAGGGTCTAGGAGTATGAAAGTAGGGTCTACGAGGTTTAAAAGTACGGTATAGGTTTCTTAGAAGTAGACCCTACTTTGCTTCTCCAAATGGAAGATTGGCAAATTTCCGCCTGTTTTGGGAGTCAAAGTAGGGTCTAATTGTATTAGAATTAGACCCTACTTTACTACTCCTAACACTCAATAGCCCCTGAAAATTCAGGGTGAAAGTAG